TTGACATCCTTATAGAAAAAGTGTGTCGACAAAAAGTTTAACTCCAAAATTCCTTACTTTGCTCTTTTCGAAATTATATCTAAAGCTAACAGACATTCGAATCGATTTTGAAGATTAAAAATATCATTAAGGGCACGTCGAAGTCGTTATTCCATTGAATCTGGATTTAAAAATCAGAATGACTTTGACATGCCCTTAATTGTCTCCGAAAAATCTTCTGCTAAATGTAATCAGTTTGGTGAGTTTTTCCTATTCTAAAATAGTGACACCAGAAAAACTTTGGAAAAAGAAAATAATATAACGTAGGTAACATTTGTTGCAGTAGAATATCAGGGTTGCCAAAAAAAATTTATTTATTTTTGTCCTGATTTCCAGACTTTTTCCTGACTGATTTTAACTTTTTTCCTGACCCTGAAGAATATTCTGATTCACTCCAAAAATTATTAGATACTCAAAAAAATGTTCTATTACATTTATTTACGAATCTATTTATGAAAATTGTAATCACGACCCTTAAAATTCAATTAATTTTAAAATATTTGAATAATTTTATTCAAATATTAATAATTAATATTAATATAATATATTAATATTAATATTAATTATTATAATATTAATTATTATAATAAATTAATATTAATATAATATATTATTATCAATATTCTTATAAAACGGTTCTTAAACAATTTTATTATTTTATAATATATTAATATTAATATAAAATAATTATTTTATGATAGTTGTTCAAGAATTAAGTCGTTTAAAAAGAAATTATTGTCAGAAATAGAAGAAATTGAAGGTTTTGCATTAGAATTGGTATAGTAAATTTAATAGTTTATGAGGAAAACAAAAAAACACCGAAATTCAGAATTTTCCCACGAATTCTAAATATTTAATTTTTCCATTACTGTTAATAAAAATCCCTGACTTTTCCTGACCAATTCTACTTTTTTGCGATTTTTCCCTGACTTCCCTGACCTGTGGCAACCCTACTGAATATAAATTACAATAGAAATACAGCACTAGAATTACAATCACCACGCAGAAGAAGTAGGGAAATAAATTCCTAATAACAAGAAATAATGAAAGTTAAAAGAGTGGAATATAGAAAACGGTTTTTTAAAAAAGTTGATTTAGGACGGTTTTTGGTCCAAGATTCAAGTAGAGTATTAGACTAAGCTTTGTTCTTCCGGAAGTTCATAGTAATGCACGTGTACTTGTACAAGAAGCGAGACATGTGGGAGTAGGAGAGTGGAGCGCATCACGTTAGTCCTGCGGGATAAAACCAACCCCAATCCTCAACGTAGCCAACGCGAATCCTCCGCCTCATCCATGTCTAGTCGAGCCAATCTCCACTTTCCTCTCTCTCTCTCTATCCCCATTTCCCCCTCACCACCCCCTTCAAAAACCTAGGTATCCTGACCCCATCTGACTAGACACCCCTCCAGCCACGAACAAACGCCTGGGGCTTAAGCTTCCTGAATATTTTATTTACTCACTGCTGCTTTTTCTACTACCTCTTTTCTTCCCTCACAATCTACAGTTACACCGCACAATTCTCTCTCTCTCTCTCTCTCCTTTTTCTTTTCTACATCCTCGAGTGTGTTTGCTTTGCTGGCTTTTTTCCTTTCCTCCTAATCGCGTGAATTTGTCTTAAACTGAACGAACTCTTGTTCAATGATTCAATTTCAGTGAATGCCTTCCGAAACAAGCCATATACTAGCTACTGTATATTCGACAAGTAAAACTAGATAACAATTTTTTTTTGTATTTCTAACAAAATTCGCAAGGCTTGGAACGACTTTAAGGTCGCAAAAAAAAATGAAGCTGAAGTCCGCAACGTTTTTACAAAACAATTTTTTTTCAAATTAAATTCATCGCTCTAATTTTCAAGTTCGTTAATTTTTGAGGAATTGTCACTTAACAGACAATATTGTTAAAAACAAGGTGTCTACTATTTTCGTTCAACAAAATTCCCGGCTTTGTCATAATTTTTCCCGATTTTTTTCTCATCAAATTTAAATTTATTTGATTTTGAACATAAATAAATCTACAAATGACTTCGAAATTTTTTATTAGAATTTTTATGAATAATTAAATTCTTTTGACGAGGTTCTTTAAATTTTTGGAAAATAATGTTTTTTAATAATTTTATTTAATAATTTTATTTAAAAATTTGGAAAATAATTGAACTAAACAAAGAATTTTCTCAATTTTTCATAAAATAATAATCTTGTCTATTCATTTCAATTTTCAAAAATTTTAATAAAATTCTTGTCAAAATTTCAATTATTTTCAAAAAATTGTCCTCAATTTAATGAGTTTCAATATCTACTATTTTAATAAAACTTTCCAAAAGAATTCAATTATTTAAAAAAAAAAAATTTTGATTAAATTCTACGCAAACATTTACTTATTTTCATAAACAATAAAAATTCCACAGGAATCCAATTATTTACAAATTTATTCGCAATAATAATTCCATTAATTTAATAAAAAATAAAATTTTTTATAGAGATTCAATCATTTTCATAATTAATAAAAATCTTTTTAGTAATTCAATTATTTTAATAAATAATAAAAGTCATGGCAGAATTTCAATTATTTTGAGTACAATTTTAAATGAATGCCACAAAAAATGTAATTATTCTTAAAAATTTCATTAAAATTCGTCAAAATAATTCAAATATACTCAAAAATTTTTTTAAAATTCTCGTCAAAATTTCAATTTTCTTTATGAATAAGAAAATTCTTCTCTGAAATTCAATTATTTTCAAAAATATTAACAAAATTCTTTTCAAATTTCAATTATTTTCAAAAATTTTCATCAATTTAATGATTTTTAATACCTACTATTTAAAAAAAAATTACCATAAGAATTCAATTATTTAAATTTTTTTAAATAAAATTCAACACGAACAATAAATTATTTTCATAAATAGTAAAAATTTCACAGGAATTCAATTGTTTACAAATTTTTCTAAAAATTTCTTAGCAATCATTCAATTATTTTCATAAATAATAAAATTTTTACAGAGATTCAATTATTTTTGTACATAATAAAATCCTTTTTAGGAATTCAATTATATTTTAAATACAATGTTAATCAAATGACACAAAAAATGTAATTATTCTTAAAAATTTTATTAAAATTCGTTAGAAGAATTCAATTATTTAAAAAAAATTTTAATAAAATTCAACACAAGCAATTAATTATTTTCATAAATAATAAAACTCATCGCAGAATTTCAATTATTTTTAATACAATTTTAATTGAATTCCCGAAAAAATGTAATTATTCTTTATGTTCAAAAATTTTTAAAAATTCTCGTTAAAATTTTATTATTTATAAAAATAATTAAATGTTTGCGTAGAATTTTACCAAAATTTTTTTAAATAATTGAATTGTGGAAAACAATTTAATTATTTAAAATGATAATTGAAATTTGGAGAATTTAAAAAATTTTTAAACATAATTGAATTTTTGCGAAGAATTTTATTACTTTTGAAAATAATTGAATTATTTTTTTAGAATTTTAATGGAATTTATAAGAATGAGGATAGGACATTCTCCCAATGTTGTTTTGAACAAATTGAATTAAATTATTTGTTTGAACATAAATTATAGTTTTTAATGAATATTAAAGAAACATAAAAATTTTTTGTGAAATAAGTGCAGCACTGATCACTGAACTTTTATAGCTCAACCTGACACAGTTTAGAGTCTAGTGGACAACCCAACACCTAGTTTCTGTGCACTAGGTGTCGGATTGACGCCGGCTACAGGAAGTAACTTACAAAAAGGGTAAATTAGTTTGCACCAGTACCGATTGCAGTCAGGTCGACAATTTAACACCTAGTTTCTGTGCACTAGGTGTCGGATTGACGCCGGCTACAGGAAGTAACTTACAAAAAGAGTAAATTAGTTTGCACCAGTACCGATTGGAGTCAGGTCGACAACCCAGCACCTAGTTTCTGTGCACTAGGTGTCGGATTGACGCCGGCTACAGGAAGTAACTTACAAAAAGGGTAAATTAGTTTGCACCAGTACCGATTGCAGTCAGGTCGACAATTTAACACCTAGTTTCTGTGCACTAGGTGTCGGATTGACGCCGGCTACAGGAAGTAACTTACAAAAAGGGTAAATTAGTTTGCACCAGTACCGATTGCAGTCAGGTCGACAATTTAACACCTAGTTTCTGTGCACTAGGTGTCGGATTGACGCCGGCTACAGGAAGTAACTTACAAAAAGGGTAAATTAGTTTGCACCAGTACCGATTGCAGTCAGGTCGACAATTTAACACCTAGTTTCTGTGCTCTAGGTGTCGGATTGACGCCGGCTACAGGAAGTAACTTACAAAAAGTGTAAATTAGTTTGCACCAGTACAAATTGCAGTTAGGTCGACAACCCAGCACCTAGTTTCTGTGCACTAGGTGTCGGATCAATTCCTCATGAAGGTAATTACTGACGAAGAATGCAAATTAGTTTTTGCTAAAATCGTTTAGAGGTAAAATGATAACCTAACTCCTAGTTTATCTACACTAGGTGCCAGATCGTTGTCTAATGAAGGGGAAGTTATTGACGAAAAAGGCAAATTACAAGGTGTCCAGCGGTCAGGGATTTTTTTTTGTTCAGGGATGTGTTAGGGAATTTCATTCAAAGTCAGTAAAATTTATAAAAAAATTAAAATCTTTTGTGAATTAAAAATTTTTTCAATTCAACATGACTTAAATGGTTTTTATTATTATTTGGTTCTATTGTTAGATACAAATTTTTTGTTAACTTGGGCAGTATTTATATTTTTGTCCCAAGAAAGTAGATGTAAGGTTAGTGAATAGTCAGGGGAAAAGTCAGATGAAGTTTGGGAAAAATTAAGAAATGTTTTTCTTAATCCTTGACGGACACCCTGAAATTAGTTTACCCTGATAGTGATTAGAAACAGAGCGACAACCTAATGCTATGTTGTTGACCTGACTACAGTCAAATAAATGACTACAAACTAATTAACCCAAGTAGCACGCTGTATCAGCTGAGTGTCATGGCGATATCTATCGGGGATATTCCTGTGATACTGATGAAGTATCATAATGTCCGCTTGTTTGAATATTCCTGCGATATTGAGGGGATATTGCTGTGATATTGAGGGAATATTGCAGCGATATTGAGGCGGAATATTGCTGTGATGTGTCACGAATTTTTGGGTCATTTTGTATCTATGTTGATCCCTGGTTTTGTAGTTATAGCGTTTATTGATGATCGAGATGTTGACATTTAATTCCTCTTCTCCAGGTTTACTTCTTGTTAGTCTCAAAGGTAAGTATTTGTTTTTATACAGGTAAGCTGAAAAAAGAGTTTTGTTATTTTTGATTATCAAAAATGTTTTTGAAATTTCAATTACAAATATAAGAATAATCGCATTGTTTTTACAGCAGGCTTTCTTAAAATTGTTTGTGTTGAATCTTTCAAGAATTTATATTTTAGATTGGAATTTCAAAATATAACTTTGCAGGTAAGTATTGAAATTTAATTTAAAATAATACAAACTTTTTTATATAAGAAGTTGTAAGTTGGGCGATGGAAAAAAGGTAAATAAGTTTTAGAGAAAGTAAAATGAATAACAGGATTTACCTAAAAATATGTCAAATAAATTCAAAAGATTCATTTCCAAATGCCATTAACGGTCTTCATAAAAATCATCGAAACTCGTATATTTGGCCCGTGAATGTTTCCAGTTACAAAAGTGTCACTCTCCAATAAATATTGTTCCCCATAGATGATCGAGTTCCCCATCATTTTTATTATAAATCCAATGTTTAAAGACTAATAAATAAAATTTCAAGACTTACTAGCATTTCTTGTGGCAACTTGTAACTGTCCAAAAATTTGGTCATTGTACAACGCGCACAAGAAAGTAAATCTATTAATGAAACCAATTATTAGTTTTTTGTGAATGATGATTTTACGTCAGATGTTGAAGCAGGAAAGAAAGTGGATCGAATAGTTGCTTGTTGCATCATTTGTTTAAAACAGAAAGGGAAGTGGATTGAAGTGTAGGCTGTAAAAAAAAGTTTATAAGAATACTGTAACACGAAAAAAATGATTACCTTTTTATATCTTAATAATATTTATGATTTTTCCGTAAATCTAAACAAAATAACATACCATTTTTATTATTTGTTGAGAGAAAGATTTTTTTACGACATCAAAGCAAATGTCTTTCCTAGAGAATTGGACAGCAATCGTCAGGATAGGAAACTGGATCTATTAGGATTAAGATAGAATGTTAGTTTTGTCATTTTTTTAAATTTACAATGTGCCATTAGAAGACTTTTGTAAGTTTGCACAATATAAACATTAGATTTTAATTTTACCTAAAGGAAAGCTAAAAATGGATTTTCGGAATTTATATATGAGACATCCAGTATCCAAAAGTTTATCAAATTTTCTTTTCATGGTGTAAAATCTCTTTTTTATCCTCTGATGTATCGCTAGGCGGGATATGAAGTGGAATAGATTTGTGGACTGAAAAAAAGAGACATGTAAGAAAAATTTGGTAATGTGATAACAATAAAACGATGCTTTTAATGATAAATCGTCCAACATCCTTCCGGCAGGACGAAAAAGACTCAGGTGAGTCCCTCCGAAATCACTAAAGAAAACTAACATGGACTCAGATAAATAAAAAATGATATATATCATTGGAAAGGTAACGAAACAAGCTTTCAGCGCATATAAATATCGAGCTTGTAAGTTCAAAACTCAGGGCTGGGTAGTTTGAAGAAGTTACATGTTCCAAAAATTCACATAATTTTTAGTCACAGAATGACGAAGCCCGGTCCTGCCGGCAGGACACTTTTCGCTTTATTTAAGAGACTGCCTAGCCCAGGTTTATAAATTCAAAGACTCGATATTTACATCATTTGAAAGCTTGTTTCATTACCTTTCCAACGATATATTTAGTTTTATATTTATCTGCTTCCATATTAATTTTATAGAGCAATTTCGAAGGGACTCGCGCCTGAGTATTACTCAGATATACTGAAAAATATTAAAAATGAATTTTTTTTTAATTGAACAATTAGGTTTCATTCTTTGAACGTTTCTGAAGAGAAAGAGACTTGTCCGGCCAAAAAATATTGATTTTTGGGGATTTTACATTAAATTTACGAAAAAATGTTTTTTTTTCACTGTTTAAAAACATAGCAAGTTTGAAGGCTTTGAAAAATGGTTTAAATTATTATTTTAAAAAGTCAAAAATATGGATTTTTTCGTCTTTTCGTCTACTTTAATCCCAAAGAGTGCTAGAAAAGAAAAGTTGAATTCCCTTTTTTTAAAAGCCTCTTTTTCGGAACGTCCTTCCGGCAGGATGGGCGTTTGGACGATTTATCATTAAATGAACTATTAAAAGTTATACTAAACGTTTAGTTAAATGTACTTGTGTAAAAAAATTGTTCCATATTTCAATAACTAGAAGAATTTCTGTATTCGTTTGGTAATTATCTAGTAGTAAAGATTCTTCGCCGAATGTGACTTCCTCTCTCATAGTGATGAACGATTTTTTCAAGTATTTCCATTTTCTATCACAGATGAAGAGACTAATAATTATAGTTTCTAGACTTACTAGCTCTCTTTGTAGCAACTTGTAACTGTCCAAAAATTTGGTCATTGTACAAGGCTTACAAAAAATAAATCTATTTACAAAACCAATTATTAGTTTTCTGTGAATGTGGCAATTATCTGCTTTTAAGTCCGAGATTTAAACAGGAAAAGATGTTGATTGAATTTTCTTCAGCTGCTTCTTGCCTCACCTCATTGGTTTAAACAGGAAGGAAAGAGAATTGATTTGTAATCTGTAAAGAAGAAGTTTATAAGAATACTAGCACACGAATGGAAATTAAACAAAGATTACTATTTTAAATTACATTAATACCTATGATTTTTAATTAAATCCAAACAAAATAACATACCTTTTTACTATATTTTTTGAGAGATAATTTTGTTTGAAACAACTTCCAAGCAATTTTCGTTCAGCGAGGATTAAACAGCAATTGGCAGGATCGGGAAGAAAATCTGAAATAAATAAAGTAGAAAATGTTAATAACAAATTATTTACTTGCTTTGCATACTGCAAAATTTACGATATTTATCTGTTTCTAGTTATTTTGAAAATGCATACTCTGTAATCAATTAATAAACAGTATTACCTAAATAAAAAGATGTAAATGAATTCTCGGCATTAAATAAAAAATTGTATCCCTCAGTCATCGAAAGTTACTTAAATATATTATTATTTTATAAAATCTCTTTTTGATTATTATATAAGGTAAAAGTAAGTGATTCATCTTAATAAATGAAATTTTAGAATTATCTGCTTAAAAAATTTAAATTTGATAAAAACATTTTATGAGAAGCACCGAAGGTAACAAGTTTCTTATAATAATCAAAAAGAGACTTTGAAAAATATATTCTTTAGTCGATTATTTCTAGTAGTTTATCCTTTCACTTATGGCGCTTTTGATGTGAAGAATTTGATGAAAATTTAGACAGGAGATGAAGTGGACAAAGATGATGGGCTGTAAAAGAGTATAATACTATAAAAATATGAAACTACATTGACAATGGAATTATTAATTTAATTAAAAAAACTTATTGTTAAAAGTTATATTAAAATTCAAAATAAATTTTACCTAAATGAATGATAATTTCAGAATTATCGTAGTCCATGATTCTGCTTATCTCCATTACTTATTCCCCGTCATAGATGTCCTCTTCATAGAGTGATGATCGAATTTCTTCTGCATTTTTAAAATGAATCCACTAATAAATAAAATTTCAAGATTCACTATGTATTCTTGTAGCAACTTGTAACTGCCCAAAAATTTGGTCATTGTACAAGGCACACAAGAAAGAAAATCTATTGATGAAACTAATTATCAGTTTTTTTAAACGATGCTTTTGGATGCTTTTTCGTCAGAAATTGAAATAGGAAAAGAAGTAGTGGAATGAATTTTCTTTAGCTGCTTTTTGCCTCACCCCATTGGTTTAAACAGGAAGGAAAGAGAATTTATTTATAAGCTGTAAAGAAAAAATTTATAAGAATACTGTGGTACGAGTGAAAAATTTAAGACAAATGATTACTTGTTTAAATTTCAATAATATGTTTGTTTTTTTAAGTAAATCTAAATAAAATAATATACCTTTTTTACTATTTGTTGAGATAAAAGGTTTTATTAAAACGACATCCAAGCAATTTTCATTCCTAGAGGATTTGACAGCAATTAGCAGGATCGGGAAGAAGATCTGAAATAAATAAAGTAGGAAATGTTAATAACAAATTATTTACTTGCTTTGCATACTGCAAAATTTACGATATTTATCTGTTTCTAGTCATTTTGAAAATGCATACTATGTAATCAACTAATAAACAGTATTACCTAAATAAAAAGATGTAAATGAATTCTCGACATTAAATGAAAAATTGCATCCCTCAGTCGTCAAAAGTCACTCAAATATATTATTATTTTGTAAAATCTTTTTTTGATTATTATATAAGGTAAAAGTAAGTGATTCATCTTAATAAATGAAATTTTAGAAATATCTGCTTAAAAATTTAAATTTGATAAGAACATTTTATGAGAAGCACCGAAGGTAACAAGTTTCTTATAATAATCAAAAAGAGACTTTGAAAAATATATTCTTCAGTCGATTATTTCTAGTAGTTTATCCTTTCTCTCATGGCGCTTTTGATGTGAAGTATTTGATGAAAATTTAGACAGGAGATGGAGTGGATAAAGATGATAGGCTGTAAAAGAGTATAATACTAAATAAATATGAAACTACATTGACAATTGAATTATTATTATAATTAAAAAATATTATTGTTAAAGGTTATTTTAAAATTCAAATTAAACTTTACCTAAATGAATGAAAATTCCAGAATTATCGTATTCCATGATTCGAAATCAATCGGAACAATTTTTTTAAAATTGTTTCGCTTATCTCCAGTACTTATTCTTCTTCTTCAAGATGTCCTCTTCATAGAGTGATGATCGAATTTCTTCTGCATTTTTAAAATAAATCCACTAATAAATATAATTTCCAGATTCACTATGTATTCTTGTAGCAACTTGTAACTGACCAAAAATTTGGTCATTGTACAAGGCACACAAGAAAGAAAATCTATTGATGAAATTAATTATCAGTTTCTTTAATAATGCTTCTAGATGCTTTCACGTTAAAAGTTGAAACAGGAAGAGAATTGGATTGAATTGTCTTCATCAGCTTCAAATCTCATTGATATAAACAGGATAGAAATAGAATTGATGTGTTGGCTGCAAAGAACAAGTTTATAAGAATACTGTTACAAAAAATTTTTTTTTAAAGGAAATGATTGTTTCTTTAAATTACAATAATATTTATAATTTACAGTAAATTTAAATAAATAATAAAATAACATGCATACCTTTTTATTACTTGTTGAGAGAATAATTTTTTTAAAACGACGTTCAAGCAAATGTCTTTTATAGAGAATTGGACAGCAGTCATCAGGATAGGAAACTGGATCTATTAGGAATAAGATTAGAAACATTTTTATATAAATTTTGTTGGTTTTGAAGATTTAAAATCTGTTTCTATTATTATAAAGGAAACAAAAATTAAGATTATTAAATTAATGTTAAATAATATATGCTTAAGAAATTTTAGTGTTTCAACAAAATTTTGCAATTATTAATATAAGTTGTAATTTATTTACAATAATAAAAAGAGATTTTTTATCGTTATATTCTTTAATTGATTATTTCTAATAGTTAATAAATTTTGATAATGTTACGAGAATAAAATTATAAATTTAAATTTACTGTTCTTAACGTTTAGTTAAATTTACCTGTGTGAAAATTTTTTTCCATATTTCAATAACCAAAAAAATTTCTGTATTCGTTTGGTAATTATCTAGTAGTAAACATTCTTCTCTAAATGTGTCTTCCTCTCTCATAGTGATGAACGATTTTTTTAGAGTATTTCCATTTTCTATCATAGATGAAGAGTCTCCAGTAGCTTTTGAGTCCAAGATTTAGACAGGAAAAGAAGTGGATTGAATATAGTCTTCAGCGTTCTCTGCTTTATAGATTTAAACATGAAAGAAAATAGATTGATTTGTAGATATGAAATAAGAAACTTGTTAAAATACTGTTATGATAATAAAAACCGGACAAAATTAATTACCTGCTTATTATTAGTTTAGTAGAATGTTGTTCCTGTGGAATGGAGTTTGAAGAAATTTTTATTCCTAAAGGATAAGAAATGAAGAATGGGATTTGGCAGAAGGTAATGTCGTTGTAGTGCACGTCAGAAGTTTGAGCAGGAGGTGAGGTTAAATAGTTTCAAGGCTGCGAAAAAGAGTCTTATAAGTAAAATTTGATTCCATATAAATAAAGAAGTAATTTCCCGAAAATATCGAATTATTATTATATATTTAAATTATATTCTAAAGTTACTTACGAAAAAGAAACATAATTGAATATAACAATTTTATTTTCGATTGTCATACTCAAAATTCCATACATTTATTTTCGCTTGTAAATTTTAGTGAATTTTAACTTTAATTAAAAAAAAATATACATTTTTTATTAAAAAATTAATTCAATTTATATTAATTTATTGAAATTAGTTTAAATATTATTTACAAACATTCAAACAAAGACAGGAAATGTAAAATAATAATTATTATACAATTTTTATTATTGAATTAAATTATTTATTTTTATATTGTTTATATTTATCGTGGAAAAAAATTTTCACAACATTTAGAAGTACATTTGTGTATTTTTTTTTTTTTTAAATAAACGAAAAAAGTTGTTATTTATAAAAATAGAATTAAATTTTCAATTTTATATATATTGTAGGTTAAAAAATACCAAAAATGTATTATTAATATTATTGTTATATCAATTATTTTTATTCAAACTGTTTTTAGAATTTTAATATAATAATTTTTCATTATTTTTATTGAAATTATTGATTTTATAATTACGATGTGATTGTAAAAATTCAAAAAAATAAAGAAAGGTTAACTTTACATTACCATTGCTCTTTTTTGGTTTTAATAATATTTGCTTCTTATTTCTTTTTTATATCCTTATTAAGTCGTTCCTATTACACCAGTATTTCACTTATAATGATTAAAATTCACAGTAAAATAAACATTATGAATATTATGACAGCTACGGGAATTCATTTGACGTTTAAAAGTTACAAATAAACAATAAAATGACATTTTCATTTGTTACCATCGTGAATTTAGATACGCACAATTATTGAACGGTGGTTATGTTGGTACAGCCTATGCGTTGCAAATATTTTTTTAATTCAAAATGGGCACATTCCTTTAACTGATATTTTTAATTAATAAACCGCGTTTTTTAATGAAAAGAAATATGGATTAGAATTTTTGATTTAGAAATAAATAATATTTTTTGTTTTTGAAAAACAATTATTATAAGCAAATAAATAATTTTTATAATTATTAATATAATTATTTTAATGGTTGTGAGACATGAAATTAGAGCAATTATATACATTTCTTTCAGATATTTTGTATACTATTCATTCTAAATAAGAAACTAAATTTATTAGAGATGCGTAGAAGAATGTATTTTCGTCCAAAAACTAACTACAATTTCGCCCAAAATATAGATTTTTAAAGGAAACAATAAAATTAACGATAAATTAATATAAACTGTTTATTTTGCTGTGCTAAACTATGTTAATTAATAAAAAATTTAGATTTCTTTCTAAAATTAGTAAATTGTTATTATCTCAAAAACTAGAAATGGTAAAATGGGTCTTTTTTTCTGAAATTTTTCAAAAAGTTTAATTTTTGAAAAAACAATTTTTATTTTTAAATGATAAATTTAACATTATAATAATTTATTATGAGAAAGATATTTTTTTTATTTGGATGATGATGATGACGAAGATGCCAATGATAATGTGGATCCTGATGACGATGTTGATCCCGATGGAGATGATTCTCTACCTTTATAAGAAAATAATATGTTATAAATATATAAATAGTCAACAATAGTGTTGTTGCAAAAAATTTTGTTTATTTCTTTTATTAAAGGGTTTGTGAGAAAACCCTCCAAAAAAGTAGTCTGACTTTTAATTAATATTAGATGTCGACTTTGCATTTGTAATTAGATGAGAGCGAATTGATCAAGAATGTTCTCTATATTTACAAGTAATTTTTTTAAAAAGTATTCAAAAATGTAGTTATAAAAGTTGCATTTTACCGTAACTGGGAGTTAAATTGAATCTATTTGCCAATAGTTCGAAAGTGGTGCTAATTCAAAATAGTGATGTTTGTTAATTAGTTAAGGGACCATTCGAGTATTACTTAAGTATTTAAGTCGGAAGGGAAGTCTAGCTATTGCTTACTTTCATTAGAAAAAATGGCACATTTTTTACATTCATTAGCATGTAAAAAATCTTGGGACGGGGGGTCTAAAAACCTTAAAAATATGCTTACGTAATACTTGAATGGCCCTTAATTACTATACTTTATATCTTTAATAAAATATTTTGACCGAAAAATTATTGTAAAAATGGAGAAGAGCGCGCCTCAGTTAGCCTCCCTCTTTCAGCCCTCTAAGAACGAACGCGAAATATTATTCTTCTCAAAACGAGAAGCCAAAGTAAAACTGCTTTTTCCGAATGTTTATACAATTTTTTGAATATTTATTTAGAAAAGTTTTGAAAAAATTCCGAGAATAGCATTTTTTACGGTGTACCCTCTTCTAAATTGTTAAAAAATCCTGAACTAAAATATTTTGATTTTTTGGTGAGAAGTAAATAGGAATTTCCTACTTTTTTGCAGTCATTTATAAAACATTTCTAGAACTCAAAAATAAGAAAATTTTGATTCATAAGTCCTAATTTGCCCTAATGGTGACTTAAGGATATTTTATGTTATACATACAGCCAAGCTTGCTCGCTACTTCTTTGCTCTTTCCTTCTTTGCTCGCTCTGCCTCTTCCTGCTCCTTCCTTTCCTTTGCTTCCTCTTCCTCTTCCTCTACCTCTACCTCTACCTCTACCTCTTCCTCTTCCACTCTCCTGCATTGCTGATTTTTCTCCATCTTTTCCTTTTTTCGTCCCTCCTTTATTTTTACTCCCTTTCGGCCTTCCTCGACCTCTCTTACAATTATCCATTACACTTGATGTCATCTTATCGGTTTGGTTCTCGGTTTGGTTCTCGGTTTGGTTCTCGGTTTGGTTCACGGTTTGGTTCACGGTTTGGTTCACGGTTTGGTTCTCGGTTTGGTTCTCGGTTTGGTTCACGGTTTGGTTCTCGGTTTCGGCTTGTTTCTCGTTTTGAGTATTTGCGTTCGTTTCAATGTAATCAAAATCCATTAATTGCTCTACATTTTGAAATTAAATTTTATTAGAATTATTTTAGTTCGATTAAAAAGTTTATCAATTTATTTTTTTAATTGTTTAAAATAATTTTTTGTCTATAATTTAAAAAATTTAATTTCCGTTACCATCTATGTCCTCCTCTCTCAAACGGTCTGCATGATATCTACTTAATAATTGACAATTTATGTCATGCATATGTCGATATTCATCTAAAAAAATTTATTTTATTATTTAAAGCAACAAGATGTATCATTTTCTAAGTCAAGATTGGAGTGTAATCGTGTGTCATATCAATCTAAAATTAAAAGAATGATCTTCACAGAAGAGGTTATAAACTATATGACGAACATGTAGAGAAAATCAGTAAATTGTAAACGTTTAAGAATTTGGTGAGTGAAACGAAAAATTCTTCTTTAAATATTTTTCAAAATTAAAGTTTTATAAATATTTACATCACTTTTTATTAAATAGAAAAAATGTACACTTTTCTACAAATGAATAAAAAAAATATGTAGAATTAAGATAATTTCTACAAAACAATACGAAGAAAAATAGATAATAAGTTTGCTATAAGAGAATAGTTTAGGTAAATTTGAACTAATATTGATTTTAACAGCAAAATTTTACAGGAAAACATTAGTCAGAGACTATATGATTAATTTAATTTTTTATCTGAAAGAATTTATTGTTTTTTTTTAGTTGAAATTTAAAAAAATAATAGTTAATATTATTTAAGAAAATAAATGACAAGAACTACCTCTCGGTGATATCGCTTTTTTTTCAAAATACGTCTCTAGTCGATCAATTGTTGACGAGAATTCTACAACTTTTAAGTCTATGGCTTTAACCTCTTTTAAATTAAAGTAATTTCGTACTTGAGAGTAATTACGAACTCTCTCTCCTTTTAAAAATTGCGACATCATCTTATCTTCTTCTTTTAGAAGACTTGTAAGTCGATCTTTATGCAAAACATGAAAGAAAAAGTTAACAATAATATGTTCAATATTTTCGAATAAAATATTTAAAAGAAACACGTTTGTTCGCAGTATGGAAGAAGTGGATCTGTCTATCTCAATATTTCAATCGTTCAATTTTGCAATCATTCAATCTTTTAATCATTCAATCTTTTAATCTCAATCGTTCAATCTTTCAATTTCAGTCTCAATCTTTCAATCATTCAATCTCAATCTCTCAATCTTTCAATTTTTTAATCTTTTAATGTTTTTTTTTACCAAAACAGGTCCCAAAAAGACACTTTTTCATATCTATGGTTTTATTTGTAGATAAAAGTATGAAATAAAATTATCCAATAATTCTGTTCGCCTTACCAATTAGAACCCATAGATTTTTTCCCTTTTTCAAATATAATTTCTTTTGCAGTCTAATTAAGCAAATTTCAAAAATATTGCTAGTTCTTTCAGGGTAGGTATCTATCATACTAATTATTTCTTCGCAATCTTTAAAAGCATCTTTCAGAAAAGACGTAAATTCATTTATATTTTCAGAATTTCGTGACTTTCCGTCTTTTCTGATTTCTTTTATGACTTCCTTCATGTCCCCTGGTCTTAAAAATGGTATTACCATACATTTTGCCAGTAAATTGCATGAACTTAATTTATCATTTTCGAACTCGCACCATTTCAGTTTTAAAACCTACAAGTAAAACAATCTTTTACCCTCACAGAAAAAACGATAATCTAATTTTAAGAAGTGCCTACTTTAATAAGAGCTTCTTAAAATTATATTATCGTTTTTTCTGTGCTTTAATTTTTAGTAGCCTTGTAATATTCAAAGAAAAAGCAATTATATTTTTGTAAAAGATTTTAAGAAAAGAGATTAAATATATTAAAATTTTTTGTTGTATTAAATTTACATATACATATACCTCATGAAAATCAAAAAGTGAGGTCAAGTATTTGCAATTACTCCAAACAGTTTTGATGGCAGCAGCAACTTGCGCATCATATGTACTTATAACCATTTCGAATGGTGGAATCAAATGATTGATTAATAGATTATTAATTTTTCGGAAAATGCACGTCATTATTTCTTCATTGAGATTTTCGGAAAGAGAGTATAAGGCGATAGCTGACTATAATTGTATTAAAATTTAAAAGTTATTTTTATATGATGTAGGTATCTGACAAATAAAACGTTATTTAAATTTAAATTTTATTTAAAAAAACATAATTAGAAAAAAAGTTAAGGAATTGATTCATTGAGATTCAATGTTTGCCAAGCTGAGAATATATTACGAAATTTAAATTGTTTTTAATTATCCTAAAAATTATTATTTCAAAAGAAAATATATGTAATTTTGGTTCATTAAATATTTTTATTATTCACTTTTTGAAATTGAACTCACCCTTTCCGACTTTTCAATCATAAAGGTAACTATGCTTATATTTTGTTTGTTAATAGTCACCTATATATAAACAAACAATTTAAAACCATTATTCTTAACAATTCTTTTATGTGAAAGGATTATAAATTTTTCAATTAACCTATCATGTTCTCAAATTTTTCTAAAATACTTAAAAATTATGATAAATGTATCAATGATAGATTAAAAAGTAAAAAAATATATAAGCTTTCATTAACCTTCGATTTTGTGTCAATATATAATACTTTAGATTCTTTTAATAATGTTGGTGTTCCAAATAGATATGCTAATTCTTTTGACGGAGTTAAAATTCTCGCTAAATACGTTTCAAAAATTAAATTTAAATCCATTGCCGCAACATCGTCAGGGATTTCATCTTCATTGTTTTTAAAGAGTAATAATTTGTCTCCCATCTCTTTTAAACAAACAATTGGAGACAAATTTCCGAATCTCGACCTTTGCATTGCTTGTCGCATTCCACTACTGCTTAATTGAACTTTGAACCTACATTTATGTATTAAATTTATACACTATAAAAAAATTAAATTGAAACCAGAATATATTAATCTATAGCTTTCCCGTTTCTTTAAACCTTTGTTGATTTTTAAGCAATATATTTGGTTCGCAATCACAATGGTTCATGTTTTTTAATGTGATCAGTGCTTGGATAATTGATTGGAGTGATTTACTTGTAATTCTGGTGTATTAAACTGCGATTAAAATATATAAAGCAAAAAATATATAGTTTTATCTAATCTGATTTGAAAGGGTCAGACAAATGCAAGTATTTCTAATAGGAAGCCAGCAACGAACCGTAATTCGAAGGGGGAGTTAACAAATAATTATGTGGATAATTAAGAATCTATAATAATAATGTAAATAATAGCGAATCAAATTATTGACATTGGAATGAAATTAGATGAGAAAGCTACCAGGAATAAGGGTTAAAAATGTATTAAAACAATTATATAAAGGGTTATTACTTCTTATTGCAAGATTGCAAAATATCACTAAATGTTCGTTTTTTTTCGGATTTTGCTAAAGAAATGGCTTCTTCGCGAGCGAATGATTCCTCCACCAAATTTTTTTGCGGATGACAGTCTTCGGAATGCAAAGTTGTAATATTTACTTCACCATCTACAACTCTAGCGGATGCATAACAAGGCATTTTGTATTTTGCGCACCTATACTTTTCTCCATCTTCGTTCTCTTCTGTTTTATAGTATAAATATCCACGATATTCATACTTCCACGTATTTTTAAATTTACCCGGCAGCCTAATCATACTTGATGTATCTACATAATAAAAAAATGCAATGAAGCTTGTTAGTATGTTAGAGGTAACATACCCTCAATTATCAATCGAAAAAATTTTTTAAAAATCAGGGCCGGATTTACACCTTCGGGGGTCCTAAGCATTAGGCAGGAGTAACATTTTTTTAGCACCACTGCAAAATTTAAAAATTAAGTTTTTTTTTAATTTAAAAAAAATATAATCTTGGAAAAATTTGGGGACCCCCGGCAATCCGGGGCCCTAAGCTACTGCTTATTTTGCTTATACATAAATCCGGCCCTGAAAAAAATTAATCCATACGCCACGATGTTTCCCTGAAAGCTTCACTGTAATATTCAGTTACACTGTTTTCTTCCAAAAAGGTTATAAATTAAGGGGAGATAGAAAAGAGATAAATTTTGTTAAATACTTTTTTGGTTTTAGAATAACGTGATGCATTAACTAAATGTTAATAGGAGTGACAGGACAAGCATAACTTTTATTTAGAAGAAATGTGTCTAAGGGTGAGATGTTTCTGAGGATGGATTATAAGAAGAGGTTAATGAGGTGAGTAATGGGTAGTGAGACCAATAAAAAAAGTATTTGAATTTAAAGAGAAAGAAATAAGAAGAGACAGAAATGTGACAATTATTGCATTTATAAAAAATAGAGAAAATATAATAACTGTAAAGGAAATGTCGAAGTAGGAAATAGATAGATAAGAAGTGAGAAAAAAAGTATTGTTATAAAAATTTTAAATTCTTAATAAATTATATTTTTAAAACTAAATTTGAAAACTTTTAATGATTTTAATTTTAAAAAATAATAATAAAAGAATATTTTCCATTGATTCCATTAATTCATTATTTATACTTTAAATTTTATTTTGAATTTTAATTAATTGAATATTAAAATATATTACTTTTTAAAAAATTAATAAATACAAGCTATTTTAATTGAAAAGTTATTATTAAAAAGGTTTTCACTATAAATATATTTATAATAAATGAAAATATATAATATAGGTAAATATAAATTAATGATTTGTAAATGATCTTCTTATTCAAGGTTAAATAAAAATTATGAAAATGTAGTAGGTTACCTTAATAGTTTACGTCAGGTGACCTTTGGGTTTTCAGGCAAAATTAGGATGAATTAAACAAAACTACAATACACAATACAAGTATAAATACCAGATAACTCTAAAGATTGAAATTTCTAATTAATAATTAATGAAAATTCTCTGTTGATAATTCGAATACAGAGAAAAATATTAATAAATTATTGAATTGTTGATCATAGCAACGAAAACAAATGATATTTCATTGTAATTGTTTTAAATTTACGTAACATAATAAAACTTCATTTATATATGCGACTTTCTATATATGTTTAGATTAAAGATTGAAAAAATAATTCACCAATTTTTAATATTCATTTTTAAAAACGTTTCTTGTATATTTTAAGGCTATATTTTTAAAATAATATTTTTTCTATAAAAGTTAAGAAGTTATATTTTATATGAATCTAAAAATCTCAATATCAAATTATTTGCTATATTAATATTTTAAAAATATTTTTCTGACAATTTAATTTAAATACGATATTATTTT